CCCCTGTAGGCCTGTGACTTTGTGTGACGTCACGGGATGCGCATGTGTAGGCTCGTACCTTTGCCTCCCTCTCAGTCGGCGTAGACCTACAGGCGAAGACAGGCAGAGGCTGGGCTCCACATTCATCATCACAGTCTGACAATGTATATGTTACCATCCAACAAGTGTGTCTACCTTCAACCCTCGATATCTCCATTTAAGAACCCCTACGATAAAATGGTGATTTATCGTAAGGGGTTCTTAAATGGAGATATCGAGGGTCGAAGGTAGACACACTTGTTGGATGGTAACATATGTATTGTCAGACTGTGATGATGAATGTGGAGCCCAGCCTCTGCCTGTCTTCGCCTGTAAGTCTACGCCGACTGAGAGGGAGGCAGAGGTACGAGCCTACACATGCGCATCCCGTGACATCACACAAAGTCACAGGCCTACAAGGGATCTCGTATCTAAAGCACATGGACGATACTAATATGCTATGCTATATAACACAGGGATCAGCAACTATGCTGACAGAAAGGTATACTCACTACAGTGTAGCATCAACAAAAAATGGTATACTCACTACAGTGTAGCATCAACAAGAAAGGTATACTCACTACAGTGTAGTATCAACAAGAAAGGTATACTCACTACATTCCTGCATCATCAAAAAAGGTATACTCACTACTATGTTGCATCAACAAGAAAGGTATACTCAGTACGGTGTAGCATCAACAAGAAAGGTATACTCACTGCATTGTAGCATCAACAAGAAAGGTATACTCAATACAGTGCTGCATCAGCAAGAAAGTATACTCACTACACTGGTGCATCAACAAGAAAGGTATTCCCACTACAGAGTAGCATCAACAAGAAAGGTATACTCACTACAGTGTAGCATCAACAAGAAAGGTATACTCACTACGGTGTAGCATAAGCAAGGTGTACTCACTACAGTGTAACATCAACAAGAAAGGTATATTCACTACATTGCTGCATCAAGAAAGGTATATTCACTAAAGTGTAGCATCAACAAGAAAGGTATACTCACTACAGTGTAGCATCAACAAGAAAGGTATACTCACTACAGTGTAGCATCAAATAGAAAGGTATACTCATTACAGTGTAGCATCAACAAGAAAGGTATACTCACTACAGTGTAGCATCAACAAGAAAGGTATACTCACTACAGTGTAGCATCAACAAGAAAGGTATTCTCACTACAGTGTACCATCAACAAGAAAGGTATACTCACTACAGTGTAGCATCAACAATAAAGGTATACTCATTACAGTGTAGCATTAACAAGAAAGGTATACTCATTACAGTGTAGCATCAACAAGAAAGGTATACTCATTACATTGTAGCATCAACAAGAAAGGTATACTCACTACAGTGTAGCATCAACAAGAAAGGTATACTCACTACAGTGTAGCATCAACAGAAACGTATACTCACTACAGTGTAGCATCAACAAGAAAGGTATACTCACTACAGTGTAGCATCAACAAGAAAGGTATACTCACTACAGTGTAGTATCAAACAAGAAAGGTATACTCACTATAGTGTACCATCAACAAGAAAGGTATACTCGACTACAGTGTAGCATCAACAAGAAAGGTACACTCACTACAGTGTAGCATCAACAAGAAAGGTATACTCACTACAGTGTAGCATCAACAAGAAAGGTATACTCACTACAGTGTAGCATCAACAAGAAAGGTATACTCATTACAGTGTAGCATCAACAAGAAAGGTATACTCACTACAGTGTAGCATCAACAAGAAAGGTATACTCACTACAGTGTAGCATCAACAAGAAAGGTATACTCATTACAGTGTAGCATCAACAAGAAAGGTATACTCACTACAGTGTAGCATCAACAAGAAAGGTATACTCATTACAGTGTAGCATCAACAAGAAAGGTATTCTCACTACAGTGTACCATCAACAAGAAAGGTATACTCACTACAGTGTAGCATCAACAAGAAAGGTATACTCATTACAGTGTAGCATCAACAAGAAAGGTATACTCACTACAGTGTAGCATCAACAAGAAAGGTATATCATACAGTGTAGCATCAACAAGAAAGGTAATACTCATTACAGAGTAGCATCTAACAAGAAAGGTATACTCATTACAGAGTAGCATCAACAAGAAAGGTATACTCATTACAGTGTAGCATCAACAAGAAAGGTATACTCACTACAGTGTAGCATCAACAGAAAGGTATACTCACTACAGTGTAGCATCAACAAGAAAGGTATACTCACTACAGTGTAGCATCAACAAGAAAGGTATACTCACTACAGTGTAGCATCAACAGAAAGGTATACTCACTACAGTGTAGCATCAACAAGAAAGGTATACTCACTACAGTGTAGCATCAATAAGAAAGATAACAGACATTGCCCCAGAAAAACTAAACAGATCACAACAAAGAGACTGAATAATCCCTGGCTAACACCAAGCATCCTCAAATCCATTAACACAAAGCACAAATATGGAAAACAGTACAGAATGGGTCAAATAACTAGAGAACAGTCGAGAAATTACTCGTCTGCACTTACCAGCCTGATAAGAAGGTCAACAAAATTGTATTATGAAAATAGATTACATAACATCAAAGGTGATATGAAAAAAAAAAACTGGAAAACTCTACATGAAATTATTGGAACTAAAAAGTTATCCAAAAACAAAACAATCAAACTAACAAAATCAGATGAACCCCTACTCAGTCCAACCGAAACCACAGACTTAATGTTTTCTTCTCCACCATAGGAAAAAGTCTAGCAAACAAAATACCAAGCACAAACGCCCATCCATCAGACTACCTCATAGGTACCTACCCAAATACGCTATTCCTAGCTCCAACCAACCCCACTGAAGTTATGCTCATCATAAACACCCTTAAAAACAAGGCAGGAGACATAAACAACTTGCCTACTTTTATGTACAAAAAAGCTTCTCAAGTATTGTCACCAATTATTGCAACGCTCTTTAACAAATCCATTGAATCATCTACCTTCCCAACAATCCTCAAAATAGCGAGGGTCACTCTGATCCATAAAGGAGGTGACCAAGCTGACTTGAATAACTATAGACCAGTATCTAACTTACCACTACTCTCTAAAATCTTTGAAAAATTAATTCATAGACGGATCTATTCCTACCTCGTTTCACACAACATATTAAACCCTTGTCAGTTTGGATTCAGGAATAAAGCACAAATGATGCTATCATACACATGCTAGAACTAATATATACCGCACTTGAAAAGAAAGAAGTCCCTCTGGGCATTTTCATTGATTTACGTAAAGCTTTCGATACAGTCGACCATGAACTACTGTACTCCAAATTAATGCACTATGGTATCAGAGGCCACTACCTCAACTACCTAAAGTCATACCTTAGTAACAGAACTCAATATGTGTATGCAAATGATGCAAACTCCTCCATCCAACCAATCACAGTAGGAGTCCCACAAGGAATTGTCCTTGGACCACTCCTCTTTCTCATCTACATCAATGATCTGCCGAATGCATCACAGTACTCAAACCCATATTATTTGCAGATGACACTACATATGTATTTTCCCACCCAAACGCAGTCATACTAGCAAACACAGTCAATACTGAATTACAGAAAATATCTGCCTGGATGATGACTAACAAACTTACCCTGAACACTGATAAAACCTATTTCATTCAGTTTGGAAACAAAGCTGCAAATGATCCAATTAACATAACGCTAAATGGATCATCAGTGACAAGACTCACAGAGGGAAAATTCCTAGGTATCCACCTTGACAGTAGAATTAAGCTCCGGACACACATACAACATATCACCAAGAAAATCTCCAAGACTGTAGGCATACTATCAAAGATAAGGTACTACGTTCCACAATCAGCTCTCCTGGCATTGTACCATTCACTCGTATACCCTTATCTTACATATGGAATTTGTGCATCGGGATCAACAACATCCAATCACCTAAAACCTCTAATAACCCAGCAAAAGGCAGCAAAAAGAATGATAACAAATTCCCACTCCCGTCAGCATACTCCACCAATTTTCAAAAGCCTGAATCTGCTTACCATTAAGAACATCCATACTTATTCATGTGCCTACTACATACACAGAACAATACACACAAATATAAACCCTCCACTCAAACTTCTCCTCACCAACCTAAACAGGACACATGACCACAACACAAGACACAGATCTCTTTTTGATATACCTCGTGTCCATATCACACTATGTAAAAACTCTATGCACATAAAGGGCCCCAAAATATGAAATTCATTGCCAGAATATATTAAAGTAACCCAGTCTGAAAATCAATTTAAGACTCTTCTCAAAAGCCACTTAATCACCCTAGACTAAATGCTAAATACCCAGTATACTCTCACATCATAACTGAAACAATCACATTGAACCTTTTATCCATTGTTGACAGGAATATAATTGAATCATTGTTTTTCACAAAAGCATTTTAGAATATAAATACGTATATCTTTGTGTTATACAAATTTTGATTCATTTATAATTAATATTCTACTGTACAACTATGAAATAATTACTATCCTACTGTACAACTATGATATATTCCTTAGTGTTAAGTAGTCAGTAAGCCAATAGTGTTAAGTTGGTCCATAATGCCTAGGCATAATAAAGGCTCTCTTTGCATTGCAACCCACTATTACGTACACAGTCTCAATGTACTGTTTGCAAAGACATTAAATAAATAAATAAATAAATACATACATACTCACGACAGTGTAGCATCAACAAGAAAAGTATATTCACTACAGTGTAGCATCAACAAGAAAGGTATACTCACTACAGTGTAGCATCAACAAGAAAGGTATACTCACTACAGTGTAGCATCAACAAGAAAGGTACACTCACTACAGTGTAGCATCAACAAGAAAGGTATACTCACTACAGTGTAGCATCAACAAGAAAGGTATACTCACTACAGTGTAGCATCAACAAGAAAGGTATACTCACTACACTGCTGCATCAAGAGACACTTGAGCTTCTTACACCTGTTCAAGAGGATCTTCAGCGAGGAACCATTAACCTTGGAACAGAAGTTGACAGCCATACACTCCAGCTGTGGGGTCAACAGAGGTCACGTCAGTCACAGTAATAACTGTTAACAGTTACAGGATGCTCTTATAGTGAGTGGCATAACATGACAACTGTTACACTGAGTGGAAGTAACTGTTACACTGAGTGGAAGCAACTGTTACACTGAGTGGAAGCAACTGCTACACTGATAGGGAATGACTGTTACACTGAGTGGATGCAACTATTACACTGAGTGGAAGCAGCTCTTACACTGAGTGGAAGCAACTGTTACACTGACTGGAAGCAACTGTTACACTGAGTGGAAGCAACTGCTACACTGATAGGGCATGACTGTTACACTGAGTGGATGCAACTGTTACACTGAGTGGAAGCAGCTCTTACACTGAGTGGAAGCAACTGTTACATTGAGTGAAAGCAACTGTTACACTGAGTTGAAGTAACTGTTACAATGAGTGGAAACAACTGTTACACTGAGTGGAAGCAACTGTTACACTGATAGGGAGTGACTGTTACACTGAGTGGAAGCAACTGTTACACTGAGTGGGAGTAACTGTTACCCTGAGTGGAAGCAACTGTTACACTGAGTGGGAGCAACTGTTACACTGAGTGGAAGCAACTGTTACACTGAGTGGAAGCAACTGTTACACTGAGTGGAAGGCAACTGTTACACTGAGTGGAAGCAACTGTTACACTGAGTGGGAAGCAACTGTTACACTGAGTGAAAGCAACTGTTTACACTGAGTGGGAAGCAACTGTTACACTGAGTGGAAGTCAACTGTTACACTGAGTGGAAGCAACTGTTTACACTGAGTGGAAGGCAACTGTTACACTGAGTGGAAGCAACTGTTACACTGAGTGGAAGCAACTGTTACATGAGTGGAGCAACTGTTACACTGAGTGGAAGCAACTGTTACACTGAGTGAAAGCAACTGTTACACTGAGTGGGAGCAACTGTTACACTGAGTGGAAGCAACTGTTACACTGAGTGAAAGCAACTGTTACACCGAGTGGAGCAACTGTTACACTGAGTGGGAGTAACTGTTACACTGAGTGGAAGCAACTGTTACACTGAGTGGAAGCAACTGTTACACTGAGTGGAAGCAACTGTTACACTGAGTGAAAGCAACTGTTACACTGAGTGGGAGCAACTGTTACACTGAGTGGGAGCAACTGTTACACTGAGTGGGAGCAACTGTTACACCGAGTGGGAGCAACTGTTACACCGAGTGGGAGCAACTGTTACACTGAGTGGGAGTAACTGTTACACTGAGTGGAAGCAACTGTTACACTGAGTGGAAGCAACTGTTACACTGAGTGGGAGCAACTGTTACACTGAGTGAAGCAACTGTTACACTGAGTGGGAGCAACTGTTACACTGAGTGAAAGCAACTGTTACACTGAGTGGAAGCAACTGTTACACTGAGTGGAAGCAACTGCTACACTGAGTGAAAGCAACTGTTATACTGAGTGGGAGTAACTGTTACACTGAGTGAAAGCAACTGTTACACTGAGTGGAAGCAACTGTTACACTGAGTGGGAGCAACTGTTACAAATGAGTGGGAAGCAACGTGTTACACTGAGTGAAAGCAACTGTTACACTGAGTGGAAGCAACTGTTACACTGAGTGGAATCAACTGTTACACTGAGTGGAAGCAACTGTTACACTGAGTGAAAGCAACTGTTACACTGAGTGGGAGCAACTTTACACTGAGTGGAGCAAACTGTTACACGAGTGGGAGCAACTGTTATACTGGGGAGCAACTGTTATATGATGAAAACAACTGTTACACTGAGTGGGAGCAACTGTTACACTGAGTGGAAGCAACTGTTACTGAGTGAAAGCAACTGTTTACTGAGTGGAGCAACTGTTACACTGAGTGAAAGCAACTGTTACACTGAGTGGGGAGCAACTGTTTTACACTGAGTGGAGCAACTGTACACTGAGGGAAACAACTGTTACATGAGTGGGAGCAACTGTTACACTGAGTGGGAGCAAACAGTTACACTGTGGAAGCAACTGTTACACTGAGTGAGCACGTTACACTGAGTGGGAGCAACTGTTACACTGAGTGGAAGCAACTGTTACACTGAGTGGGAGCAACTGTTACACTGAGGAGCAACTGTTACACTGAGTGGAAAGCAACTGTTACACTGAGTGGGAGCAAGCAAAAACCTGTTACACTGAGTGAAAGCAAACTGTTACACTGAGTGGGAGCAACTGTTACACTGAGTGGAAACAACTGTTACCCCTGAGTGAAAGCAATGTTACACTGAGTGGGAAGCAACTGTTACACTGAGTGGAGCAACTGTTACACTGAGTGGAAGCAACTGTTACACTGAGTGAAAGCAACTGTTACACTGAGTGGGAGCAACTGTTACACTGAGTGAAAGCAACTGTTACACTGAGTGGGAGCAACTGTTATAACTGAGTGAGAACTGTTAACTGAGAGGAAGCAACTGTTACACTGAGTGAAAGCAACTGTTACACTGAGTGGGAGCAACTGTTACACTGAGTGAAAGCAACTGTTACACTGAGTGGGAGCAACTGTTACACTGAGTGGGAGCAACTGTTACACTGAGTGGGAGCAACTGTTACCTGAGTGAAGCAACTGTTACACTGAGTGAGAGCAACTGTTACACTGAGTGGGAAAACAACTGTTACACTGAGTGAAAGCAACTGTTACACTGAGTGGAAACAACTGTTACACTGAGTGGAAGCAACTGTTACACTGAGTGGAAGCAACTGTTACACTGAGTGAAAGCAACGTACATAGGGGAGCAACTGTTACACTGAGTGGGAGCAACTGTTACAAATGAGTGGGAGCAACTGTTACACTGAGTGGGAGCAACTGTTACACTGAGTGGAAAGCAAACTGTTACACTGAGGTGGGAAGCAACTGTTACACTGAGTGGGAGCAACTGTTACACTGAGTGGGAGCAACTGTTACACTGAGTGAAAGCAACTGTTACACTGAGTGGGAGCAACTGTTACACTGAGTGGGAGCAACTGTTACACTGAGTGAAAGCAACTGTTACACTGAGTGGGAGCAACTGTTACACTGAGTGGGAGCAACTGTTACACTGAGTGAAAGCAACTGTTACACTGAGTGGAAGCAACTGTTACACTGAGTGGAAGCAACTGTTACACTGAGTGGAAGCAACTGTTACACTGAGTGAAAGCAACTGTTACACTGAGTGGGAGCAACTGTTACACTGAGTGGGCAACTGTTACACTGAGTGAAGCAACTGTTACAAATGAGTGGGAGCAACTGTTACACTGAGTGGGAGCAACTGTTACACTGAGTGGGAGCAACTGTTACACTGAGTGGGAGCAACTGTTACACTGAGTGAAAGCAACTGTTACACTGAGTGGGAGCAACTGTTACACTGAGTGGAGCAAACTGTTTACCCTGAGTGGAAAACAACTGTTACACTGAGTGGAAAGCAACTGTTACACTGAGTGGGAGCAACTGTTACACTGAGTGAAGCAAACTGTTACACTGAGTGAAAGCAAACTGTTACACTGAGTGGGAGCAACTGTTTACACCTGAGTGGGAGCAACTGTTACACTGAGTGAAAGCAACTGTTACACTGAGTGGGAGCAACTGTTACCCTGAGTGAAAGCAACTGTTACACTGAGTGGAAAGCAACTGTTACACTGAGTGGGAGCAACTGTTACACTGAGTGGGAGCAACTGTTACACTGAGTGGGAAGCAACTGTTACACTGAGTGGGAGCAACTGTTACACTGAGTGGAAGCAACTGTTACACTGAGTGGAAGCAACTGTTACACTGAGTGGGAGCAACTGTTACACTGAGTGGGAGCAACTGTTACACTGAGTGGGAGCAACTGTTACACTGAGTGAAAGCAACTGCTACACTGAGTGGGAGCAACTGTTACAATGAGTGGGAGCAACTGTTACACTGAGTGGGAGTAACTGTTACACTGAGTGGGAGTAACTGTTACACTGAGTGGGAGTAACTGTTACACTGAGTGGGAGTAACTGTTACACTGAGTGGGAAGTAACTGTTACAACTGAGTGGGAGCAACTGTTACCCTGAGTGGGAGTAACTGTTACACTGAGTGGGAGCAACTGTTACACTGAGTGGGAGCAACTGTTACACTGAGTGGGAGTAACTGTTACACTGAGTGGAAGTAACTGTTACACTGAGTGGGAGTAACTGTTACCCTGAGTGGGAGTAACTGTTACACTGAGTGGGAGTAACTGTTATACTGAGTGGGAGCAACTGTTACACTGAGTGGGAGTAACTGTTACACTGAGTAGGAGTAACTGTTACACTGAGTGGGAGCAGTGTAAACTAGGGCAGGTACTCCTTGTATTCATCTGTTTATGGATGCAGATGTCGAGTCTCAGCTCCTGGCTCTACTTCTTCAACCTATCCGATGAAAGGACTCTTCTCTCCTAAGCCCTACCATACCTATTCTTAAAGCTGTGTATAGATCCTGGCTCTACCATTATTTTCTCCAGGTCATTCCACTTCTTCTTTATTATGAGGCTGAAAAAGTACTTCCTAACATTCCTAAGACTCATCTGTGTTTTCAGTTCGCAACTCTGGCCTCAGGTACATGCTTCTCACGTCTACAACAGCCTGTCCCGTATGTACTCACCTATTTGTGGTTGCAGGAGTCGAGTCTCAGCTCCTAAGTGTGTAAACTCCTTATATGTGATTGCAGGGACCGAGTCACAGCTCCTGGCCCCGCCTCTTGGCTGGTCGCTACTAGGTTCACTTTCTCCTGGCTTCGAAAGCCTTATCGTACCTCTTCTTAAAGCTATGTATGGATTCTGCCTCTACCACCTTCACGTCTCAGGTCGTTTCACTTTATAACTAAAGTTGAAAAAATAATTGCTAACATTCATGTAAGTCATCTGAATGTTCAACTTCCTGCTGTTCCCTCGTGTTCCTGTCCCATCTCTCCATTATTCTGTCTCTATTCACCCTATCAGTTCCTCTCAGTATTTAGTCCTCCTGTCCTCCAGTATCATCAGGTTGAGTTCTCTTA